CACTTTGGCAGAAACACAGGCCCGATATTCTGCCATGTTGTCCGGCTACCAGTTCCAGGTGACCAGCCAGGAAGAGCAACTGGTGCAACTTCGTGCCGATCTGGAACGTCAAAGACAAGAGTATCAGACGCTTCTGGACATCAAGGCCAGACTGGAGATGGAGATCGCAGAGTACAGAAGACTGCTGGACGGAGAGGCCGTCAGGTGAGACACAACTTCAACACAAAATAACTTTAAAAAAAGCATTTAGACTGAACATTAATGTTGAACTTTAATTATTTATTTAATATTCTTTATTTTCTATGTCTGCAGTACCTCAAGCACAAGCACGAGCAAAACCTCAACTACACGCAAAGTGGTAACCATTGTGGAAGAGGTGGTGGACGGCAAAGTGGTCAGCACATCTTCCCAGGCTACCAGCCAGATCGTGTCTCAAAAGAGCTCTTGAGCAAAAGCTATCTACATCAGAGTGATACAAAGCAAATAAACTGGTCTAACTGTGCATAATTGTTTGTCTTTTACTTCTGTCATTTGCACCTTGCATGAAATCAACTCTTAAATTTAACAAATATGGAAAGTTGTCAATTAAAAACAATAATTTTCTAGCATAAAAAAAGACTGCTCAGGAATCACATAGCTGTTTTAAAATTGATCTACACCTTTCATAATCAAATCCCATAGTCAAACATAAGGCTGAAGTCTTTAAATTAAAATCAACCATTACCAGCCATAACTCTTAATATATAAAAATATAAGGAGGCTGCTTACTCACAGACTCAAACACACTGCATGCATAAGGGTGTACTCACACTAGCCAGTTTGAACCGTGCCCGAGTGCGTTTGACCACCAAAGCGCGGTTCGTTTGACTAGTGTGAGTGCTCCGAACCGTGCCCGGGCGCGGCGCGATTAGCCGGCCCTGGCCCGCTTGGAAGAGGTGGGCCAGAGCACGGTTCATTTGGACTCGGGCGCGGTTCGCATGCAGTGTGAGCGCTGAACAGGACGCGAACAGTGCGGGAACTGTAGTCCGTAATCAAAGCTGCAAAGTCCTTGCTGCACTTCAGCTGGTACCTTGCAAACCTCATCATACGAGAAGCACGATTACGTGAAAATTTTCGCGCCACTAAGGCGACACATCTGTTTAACAACAGGCTGTGAGAGGGCCACCGTGGACCAAACGACACAAAATTATCCACAAAGAAAACAGAGCGATGGACTGTGTTCAGAGAGCGCCGCTCTTCTTGTTTATCCCGAAACCGTCGCACCATAATGACGTAAGCGTGCTCCGGCACGAATGCTGAAACCCTATGTGAGTGCAGGCCAGAGGGGGAGTGGGGACAATCGTACTCGGGCCCGGTTCATGGCAACCGTGCCTAGTGGGAGTACACCCTAAGATGGAAAAAAAAATGTTTTAGTAGTTCTACTGATTTATTAGTTTACTGTACATGAGGGTGTTTTGTTGAGTTTTTTTAAAAGAAGCCACATCAATACACTACTCTACCCATTTCAGACTTACGCCGCCGACACAGTTGAAATCCGCTCCGATACGGCTCCGAAACGACCAGAAGTAATTTCCTATGGAGATTCGCACACCGCATGTGAATGGGTCTGAAACGGGTCCGACCGAGTGCGGTGCGAAGAAAATCGTGTCCGTTGGTCATCCGGATGCGTTCAAAAAATTAAACTTTTGCGAAAAGCTAGAAGCGTTGCTATGGTAACGTGTATTCCGGACACTTGACCTTTTCTGGCAAATTTTATAAATAAACACTTTCATGTCACGGCATATATATATATATATATCCGTGTCATCTTTGCCTCCTCCTCTTTCGATTCCGACCAACCCTATGTTTCCAGAGCCAGTCGTTTCAAAGAAATCAACGCGAGTTTCTAACGTACACCATTGACTGTTCAGAAAATGACGAGGGGAAGGTTTTCCGGCAGGACAAATGGACGAGGGGATAATATACCTCCATACCCAGATGGCAAACTGAGATTGAATCAACGTGGAAACATGACATCGAAACAATGTTTTGCTCAACGAATTAACGTTGAACCAACGTCAAACCAACTTTGACCTTTTTCAAAACTAACGGAAAATCAACTTGAAATCAATGTTGTTTCAACGTTATGAAAGCAAACCGATTTTCGAATTTCATTTAGCTTTGAAGAATGCCGCATCTGACGTTGGTTCAACGTTAATTCGATGTGCAAAACAATGCCAGATCAACGTTGTTTTAATGTCCTGAGAGACGCCGTTTCCACATTGATTCAATGTCAGTTTGCTGTCTGGGTAAACGGCTCTTAAAACACAATCACCCACTAGAAAATGGTGAATAAATCATTCTTATGGTCTTATAAAATAATTATTTACAAATATTTGTACTTTAAGGGATTAAAACATAATATAAAATTCTTAAATATGTTATAATATAATGCTCAAATGAGCAAATGTCGATTAAAAGAGTGTATAGACACATATACAACAAAGTTATGAAGATTAATATGGGATTTTTGAACTTTGAAAATCTGTCGGTTTAATGTTGAGACTTGACACATTCAGTGGATAAAACCGGTTTATCTTGCCTGAGGTGCGGGATCTGGATGAGTTGTTGAAATGTTGTAGAGATAATGGTTTCAGTGTAATGTGTGACAAATGCTGAGAACTTTTCTACGGTTTTAAATTTAATGTAATTTTTAATTGGAAAAGGGTGCATCTAATAAATCTAGCAATCTATTCATTTTGATATCTCTTGATTTCAGAATGTTAAAAAACAAATGTCATATAACCAGCGCTTGACATTAACTTTTTTGCTCACTAGCCAATGTGGCTATTTGAGTACTAACACCACTGCCTAAATGGTTAGTTCACCCAAAAATTAAAATTCTGTAATTAAACGGATAGTTCACTTTGAAATTAATTTTTGATATGTTTTAGCTTACCTCAAGGGCATCCAAGATGTAGGTGTCTTTGTTTTCACAGTATTTTCAATTTTGATATTTTTCAGTCAAACCGTTGTTGTCTATCAGTCATACACTGGAGGCTAAGGGGGTCCACCAAAAAGCATGCACAGAGAAGTCAAAATTAAACATGATTTAATGACTCGTAAATGTAAGTACACATTGATGACCTAAGACACAAAACGAGCGGTTTTTGTGAGAAAACGAACAGTATTTATATCGTTTTTTGTGTAATCACAGTGACGTCCAAGTGATCTGAATCAGTTGTACAATGTCCAACTGAACCGAACTGAATCAGTTCAATGTTACGCTGGAAGTGATCGCTTGCGTGTGACGTCACTCAATATTTACACGGAGATGTCGGAAGTTTTACCTTTTACTAAACATATTTAGATATACCGAAATCGTCTTCCATTGAGGTTTACCGTATATCTAAATATGTTTAGTGAAAGGTAAAACTTCCGAAATCTCTGTATAAACAAAGAGTGACGTAGGCGCGCAAGCGATCATGCGCATGCGCAGACTGAAGCGCCCGTGCCGTCAGATCATTTTATCATGGCTATGATTACAAGAGGTAAAAACGATATTAATACTGTTCATTTTCTCACACAAACCGCTCGTTTCGTGTCTTAGGCCATCAATGTGTACTTACATGTACGAGTCATTAAATCATGTTTAATTTTGACTTCTCTGTGCATGCTCTTTGGTGGACCCCCTTAGCCTCCAGTGTATGACTAATAGACAACAACGGTTTGACCAAAAAAATGTCAAAATTGAAAATACTGTGGAAACAAAGACACCTACATCTTGAATCCCCTTGAGGTAAGCTGAAACATATCAAAAATTAATTTCAAAGTGAACTATCCCTTTAACTGCGGACCCCTCATGCCGTCCCTTTGTTCAGACTTTCGTCCATCTTTGAAACACAGATGAAATCTTAAAACATTCCGTCTCTTCATAGACGGTCACCATGATTTTTCCAAGAAACACGTGTTCCTGGATTAACATATTTTGTTGACCCTGAAACAACATTCCTGTCTGAAAATGTCTAGGCAACTAACGTTTTGACGTTTCAAAAAGGTTTAAGAGATCGTAACTAATCCATTTGAATTGAGCGGTTTAGTCTAACATTTTCTGAAGAGTCACTGCTTATATGAACAACAGATTGAATTTAGGAATTTGTTCGCTTATAAATATTCATCAACTCGCACATCAGTAATGGTAAAAGGAAACTCAAGCATGTTCACTTGATGTGTGAGAACCAATGAGTTTCATCCTTGTGTTACGCAGCACGTTTGAGTTTCAGCAAGAGGTTCTTGTGCTTCTGTTTGTTCACTGATCAATGTTTAAATGTGAATAGAAGCCTACATTAAATCTGTTCATCATATAAAGTGATCGTGTCTCTTCAGAAGATTTTGACTAAACTGTTCAATTCATATGGATTAGATTTACAATCTATTTATGAACTTTTTGAAGTGGTAGTTGTGTATCTGTCTAGACTCTAGAGGGACAGAAATGGCTCAAATTTCATCAAAAAATATCTTAATTTGTGTTTTACAAATAAACGAAAGTATTACGGAATTGGAATGACATGAGGGTGAATAATTAATGACACAAATACATTTTTTGGATACACTACTATGTGTATCCAAAAATGGGACAATTAAACTATTAAATTAAAATATATTTTGCAGAGATGAAAAGAAACAGAACATAAAAGCACATAAATGTGAAGATTGACAAGTTCAGTTTAGTTCTTTTATTTATAAAGCAAATTAAAACAGCCACAGGACTCACCGAAGTGCTGTACAAGCCAACTATAACCAAGGACAAGGACTGACAGCTGAAACTGCAAAACGTTTTTCTAAGGAAAAACATTTTGAAACCTCTAAAATGTTTTTCTAAGGAAATGATAACCTACCATTCAAACCTGTCTTCAGTCACACCTTGGGGAACTGGGAAATGGTTTCATGGCTCTCATCCACCTAAGGCAATCTTTCCAGTCCCTCCCTACCCATTGTCTACATAAAAGGAGCAAGGGTTGTCTTTTCCTCACTCATCCGCTCGTTCCATCACCAGTCAGAGCAGTCAACGACAGCAAGCCTCCTTCAAAATGATGTCTTCTTCTTCATCCACCCGCAGCTACATGTCCTCAGGAGGATATTCTCGCTTATCTGTCTCTAGTGGCGGAGCAGGTCGTGTCTCATCAATGCGTGCCGGTAGTGTGTATGGAGGAGCAGGAGGATCTGGTGTCCGTATCTCCAGTGCCTCTGCTTCTCGTTCCTTCTCTGCTGGAGGTGCTGGCTTTGGAGGTGGTGCTGGTTTCGGAGGTGGTGCTGGTTTCAACCTGGCTGATGCCATTGATGTGTCTGCAAATGAGAAAGCCACCATGCAAAACCTCAATGACCGTCTGGCCTCCTACCTGGAGAAGGTGCGCACCCTTGAGAAGGCCAATGCTGATCTTGAGCTGAAGATCCGCCAGTTCCTGGAGAGCAAGGCCACTCCCTCATCTCGGGACTACAGTGCCTATTACGCTACTATCACTGACCTTCAGGCCAAGGTACGTGACAAAACTATAGAACATAATTACTCAAGACAATCATTAACCAATCATCACCAATTACCAATATTCCACCATTCTTTGTCTGCAAAGAATATATTCAAAGCATGTGATTGCATTTCTTCAGTACTTGAATGAAAGTGATTAAAATTTGACTTTTATATATTTTCGTTCTGTCCCCCTGAAGATCCAGGCTGCGACCCGTGTTAATGGAGGCATCAACCTCAGCATTGAGAATGTCAAGCTGGCTGAAGAGGACTTCGCAATCAAGTAAGTCCATTTCTTAAAAGACTTAAAAAATAAAAAGCACTTCCAACATCTAGAACAAACCCAAGACATTTATATTGATATAATTGTGCAGATATGAGAATGAGCTGTGCATGAGGCAGTCAGTTGAGGCAGATATTGCTGGGCTGAGAAGGGTGCTGGATGAGCTGACAATGGCCAGATCTGATCTGGAGATGCAGATTGAGGGCCTGAGAGAAGAGCTGATCTACCTTAAGAAGAACCACGAGGAGGTATGTTGGTGATTGGTTTACACACTCTTTGATAAAAAAGTGATTCCTTTAAATGAAGCAAATGCTCAATGGTTTGATATCGCATCTTTAGGAACTCTTGGCCGCACGTGCCCAGCAGATGAGTGGACAGGTCAAAGTAGAGGTTGGCCCAGGAAAAGAGGATGGCCTGTCAGTGATCATGGCTGAAATCCGTGAGCACTACGAGGCAGTTGTTGCCAAGAACCGCAAAGAACTTGAGACTTGGTTCCATGCCCAGGTAAAATCAGATTTAATCTGTTAATTTTCAAAGAGGGATTGTAATCAAAACCAACAAAATACATATCTGACTGCTTTCCTATATGGACTTCCTCTTATAGACCGAAGTTATCCAGAAAGAAGTTGTTGAAAGCACAGAAACTCTCCAAACATCCAGATCAGAAATCACTGAGCTTAAACGCACACTCCAGAGTCTTCAAATAGAATTACAATCACAACTCAGCATGGTAAGCAAGCACAGACAAAAAGAGGAATCGTGTAAAGTGTTTTGTTATCATCACAATGTATAATAATGACTTTCTCCCGACAGAAATCATCATTGGAAGGCACTTTGGCAGAAACACAGGCCCGATATTCTGCCATGTTGTCCGGCTACCAGTTCCAGGTGACCAGCCAGGAACAGCAACTGGTGCAAATTCGTGCCGATCTGGAACGTCAAAGACAAGAGTATCAGACGCTTCTGGACATCAAGGCCAGACTGGAGATGGAGATCGCAGAGTACAGGAGACTGCTGGACGGAGAGGCCGTCAGGTGAGACACAACTTCAACACAAAATATCTTTAAGCATTTAGACCAAGGCCACGTTTACACAAAGCCGGGTATTTAGAGAAACAAATATTTCCCCCTCTCCATTTTCAATAATAACATTGTGCACACACCTGCATAAATACACCATTAAGCGCCATCATATCTATGCCAAACCTATGGGCGGCAGTCACGTAGGGAGAAGGATAAAGCCATGCAAGCAAATCAGACTCCTCAGAATCGACAAGAGAGAACCTAAAACGCCTTTTCTCCCAGTTGACATGACAACACATAACCGGCATTTTCAGAAATCTCCACTTTGGCCGGAGTTTTTAGAAATAATCGTTTTCTGTGATAAAAACGGGGTTTTCGTGTAAATGAGAGGCCAAACAGCAGGGTAATATCTGCGTTTTCCCTTCGTGTAACGGGGCCTAAACATTAATGTTAAAGTATGACAACTTTAATTATTCATTTAATATTCTTAATTTTCTATGTCTGCAGTACCTCAAGCATAAGCACAAGCAAAACCTCAACTACACGCAAAGTGATAACCATTGTGGAAGAGGTGGTGGATGGCAAAGTGGTCAGCACATCTTCCCAGGCTACCAGCCAGATCGTGTCTCAAAAGAGCTCTTGAGCAAAAGCTATCTACATCAGAGTGATAAAAAGCAAATAAACTGGTATAACTGTGCATAATTGTTTGTCTTTTTTTTCTGTCATTTGCACCTTGCATGAAATCAACAATTTCAATACGGAAAGTTGTCAATTACAAACAATAATTTTTTAGCATAAAAAAAACAACTAAAGACTGCTCAGGAATCACATAGCATTTTAAAATTGATCTACACCTTTCATAATCAGATCCCACAGTCAAACATAATAAGGCTAAAATCCTAAATGTTCTGCCACTGATTTATTGGGTTACTGTACATGGACGTGTTTTGTTGAGTTTTTTTAAAGAAGCCACATCAATACACTACTCTACCCAGTTCAGACTTTGTATTGTTGTGATAGTTGTTAATAGGCGAAAGGGACAGGGTAAATTAGCAAGCTAAAGATTTGCAAGATTGACTTTACCAATGAATATCTTACTGTTGACATTGCAATGCTGCAAATATCAATACTCCGGTGGATACTCCTATGCTTCTGTATAAAGTCAAATTTTTAATCGCGTTCATTAAACAGTCAGTAAAATAAAATACAATAGAATAAAAATACAAATAAAAGTTTTTCCTTTTATTGGTCTACAAGAATGCACTCGTCACACTCGTCTATTTGTCTTTACTCAAAATTTTAATCCTTGAAATTAAAATTACAAAAGTTATTCAGTCAATAGCAGCCAGTGAATTTTTCTTTGTCTTGTGTATATTAAAATTAATGACACAGACAGGAGCTGTTTTATTAGGCTGCTGTCACTTAAAGATCGAGTATACCGCATATAATAAAATGTTCATGAATTTTTACCTTTATAAGCACAAAACCTGCTGGATTGAGTACAACTATGTGCAAAAACTTTATTCCCATGCTGATATTACAGGCACTGATTAAATATATATTCTGGATATTTGTGAAACTTATTTCCATGACTTATCCAAAACTTTCTCTTATTTTATTTTTCTAATACAGTTCCAGACCTGGAAATTGTTCTTTTAAAATTCCATGACTTTTCAATGTTTTTTATTTAATGATCGCACAAACCATTAAAATACATCAAGTAATGTATTTGATGAAAAAAGTCTTTCAGTGCCTAAGGCTGCATATAAGCAATGCTATTGAGTGTTAAAAAAAAAACTTGTATGCGTCTTTGTTACCATGCTCTGGGCGTCTATCTGTTAAGAATCACACACAGGAAGCATCCAGGCAGGGGTAGTCATCCAGGCAGGGGTCAAATTCCAATAAAGTGATCCAAAACACAAGACAAAAACAAGAAACGGGCAGATACAGACTATGAAAGTGTGGAGACAAGGACTCCATGAAACCGACTGAACAGACAGGGTATAAATACACAGATTCTAACAGGGTAAGTGAAAAAAGCTGCATAGGATAATCAATGATGACAAGAAACAGCTGAGTGCAATGAGCAGTGATAGGTACAGACAAGGATTGTGGGGAATGCAGTTCTAGAGTTAAAGGTGACAGTATGGGGAAGAGGTCTCTTCCCCATACTGTCACCTTTAACTCTTGAACTGCATTCCCCACAATCCTTGTCTGTACCTATCACTGCTACCAGACGCTCCAAGACCCACAAAAAACAAACAAAAAAAAGAGTCCAGGAGGGAGGTGGAATGGTGGAGGATCAGAGGGAGAGATGGGGGCCAAGTCCATGAAGGGAAACAGGAACAAGGGGTGAGGGCTTAGCCAACGGCCAGGGGGAAACCGAAAGTCTATCGAGCGGCCAGGGCAAAGCAGACGACCCCTCGGTCGGCCAGGGCGGAGAAGACCCCTCGGTCGGCCAGGGCGGAGAAGACCCCTCGGTCGGCCAAGGCGGGGAAGACCCCTCGGGCGGCCAGGGCGGGGAAGACCCCTCGGTCGGCCAGGGCGGGGAAGACCCCTCGGGCGGCCAGGGCGGGGAAGACCCCTCGGGCGGCCAGGGCGGGGAAGACCCCTCGGGCGGCCAGGGCGGGGAAGACCCCTCGGGCGGCCAGGGCGGGGTAGACCCCTCGGGCGGCCAGGGCGGGGTAGACCCCTCGGGCGGCCAAGGTGGGGAAGTCCCTTCGAGCGGCCAAGGCAGTGACTCTGGAACAGACACTGGCACTGGCTCCGGCTCTGGAACAGACACTGGCACTGGAACAGACACAGACACTGGCTTCGGCTCTGGCTCAGGAACAGACACTGGCGCTGGCGCTGGCTCCGGCTCTGAAACAGACACTGGCACTGGCTCTGGCTCAGGAACAGCAGACACTGGCTCAGAAACAGCAGACACTGGCTCAGAAACAGCAGACACTGGCTCAGAAACAGCAGACACCGGCTCAGAAACAGCAGACACCGGCTCGGGAACAGCAGACACCGGCTCGGGAACAGCAGACACCGGCTCAGGAACAGCAGACACCGGCTCAGGAACAGCAGACACCGGCTCAGGAACAGCAGACACCGGCTCAGGAACAGCAGACACCGGCTCAGGAACAGCAGACACCGGCTCAGGAACAGCAGACACCGGCTCAGGAACAGCAGACACCGGCTCAGGAACAGCAGACACCGGCTCAGGAACAGCAGACACCGGCTCAGGAACAGCAGACACCGGCTCAGGAACAGCAGACACCGGCTCAGGAACAGCAGACACCGGCTCAGGAACAGCAGACATCGGCTCAGGAACAGCAGACACCGGCTCAGGAACAGCCACTAGAAAAGTAATGGCCACAAGGACAGACACAAACACAGAAACAGACGCTGGCTCCGGTTCAGGAACAGGCACTGGCTCCAGAACAGGCACTGGCTCCGCCTCTGGAATAGTCTCCGGAACAGGCACTGGTTCTGACTCTGGAACCAGGGACACAAAAGCTCTGAAGGGTCTTTCCAGGATCCCTGCCAGACGCTCCAGATAGTTGCTGAGTATTCCCCCGGCTGCAAGAATGGGTATCTCCTAAACGGTCTCTGGCTCTGGAACAGACACCGGCTCAGGCTCAGGAACAGCGGACACTGGCTCAGGAACAGCGGACACCAGCTCAGGAACAGCGGACACTGGCTCCGGCTCTGGAACAGCAAGCACAGGCATGTCCAGGATCCGAATCAGATGCTCCAAATAGTCCATCCATGCCATCACGGCCATGCGAATGGGCATCTCCTGATCCGTTTCTGACTGGTTAGACATGGCGTGAACAGTCTCTGGCTGAGCAGACGTGACGTGAACAGTCTCTGACTGGGCAGACGTGATCTGAACAGTCTCTTGCTGGGGAGAAGGAACGTGAACCATCTCTCGACCACCTCCTCCACTTCGACCTCCACGGGTCCCAGGAAACTTGACCAATCGGGTCCCCTTAGAAAACTCCCTTCTCTCCCACTCGGTGACTGGGGAATGTTACAAAACATACTGCTGGATTCAGTGTGATGGAGTCCATCTGTCATGAATCACACAAAGAAAGCAGAGAATCCAAATGCAGTAGTTTTAATTTAAGAGCAATCCAAACTCATAGTCATCAAAATTCCAATAAGGCAATCCAAAACACAAGACAAAAACAAGAACCGGGCAGATACAGCCTATGGAAGTGTGGAGACATAAAACAAGGACTCCATGAAACTGACTGAACAGACAGGGTATAAATACACAGATTTTAACAGAGTGAGTGAAAACAGCTGCGTGCGATAATCAATGATGACAGGAAACAGCTGAGTGCAACGAGCAGTGATAGGTACAGACAAGGATTGTGGGGAATGCAGTTCTAGAGTGAAAGGTGACAGTTTGGGTAGAGACTTCTAGTGGACACCCGGGGAAACACAAACCAGACACCGTGAAACTACTCTAAATCATGCTTCTGCTTTAGATCCCCAGAGGCATGCAGAGTTCAGTTTTCACAGTTGTTCTGCTATTGATTATTGTCCATCGCCTATTTTAAAACTCTGATCCTCACCAAATTAAATCAGGTAATCAAAAGAAGACCCTGACCAAAGTTAGGATGGATTCAAATTAAGTGTTTTAAAACAGCTTGCTAATAAAAGCAACAAAAGTATGTCAGAAATCAGGGCCGTCTTAAGCATGGTCCATTCTCCTCAGTCCATTGCAGTGCCCACTTAAGCACGGGGCCATAAGAACGCCTTAAGAACCTGAAGAACGGCCCTGTCAGCAATTCTACTGAATTGACATAAGCTGGTAAAGGTTGTAGGGTCAAACCCCAAAGGGTTTGTGGCCTTGAGCAAAGGGGCAACCCCTAGGTAAACACCTGATTCAACAATGTGCCTCCAGAAATGAGGTTGGGAAACACTGATAAAACTGCAGTGCAATAAATTCCCTTTTGTTGCATGACTACATACTGAATGCCATGAGGGACCCTAGATAGTTTCTATTGCCTCCTGTTGGTCAAAGGGTGTAAAGCATGGTTCAATTTACCATTTGATATGAAAACATTCCAACCCTTCACAAATCTGGTTAATATCAAGTCACCCAAAAAAAACCATCCGAAACCCAATTAATACAAGCTAAACATACTTTTACTCATTTGGTTTTTAAACTAGGTAATTTTGATGCAAATTTAAGGGAGTTAAGCTAATTTGTTGTTTAAATGTATATCTAAATGTATATAGTGTATATCTGTAAAAAAATATATATTTAAAAAAAAATCATTTAAAACATATGCAAACTAGAAAATAGAATTTGTTAATCTTGATAACTGATCATTTATATTATTCATATATTTACATACATTTTGATGAATCTGCCTTTTGCGAAATTACATATAATTTCACCTTTGAAGTCTACACATGTGTCAAATGACACCAAACAATATGAGCAGGGGAAATAAAATAAAACAAATAAAACTTTTACCCCACAACATTTTCAAATTGGCCTATTATAAACCACTGGAATAAATGATAGACACCCATGTAGAGCCAAGAATAATCTAACAATTTAAGAAATAAAATGCCTGTGTCCCACACAACAAAAGATATCTTCGAGTATATATTTGAATTAATTTGTTTTTTAACAATAAGCCAACTACAGATAGTGTGGGGTCCAATGATCATTTGGCATTTTTTCTTGACTATATCTAAATATATTCTTCCATTTTACTTATCGCACTGATAGGGCCAATATACTGTGCAAACATAAAACATTTCATTAAAGTAGAAAGAAATTAATTTAACAAAACACAAAACTTTAAGGAATCTTTGAGGGATTTAGTTGAAACATTAACATACCATGCAAACCTGTCTTCGGTCACGCCTCGGGGAATAGGCAAATACTTTCACTCTCCCTACCTTAGGCAGTCCATCCATCTAGTCCCTCCCCCATTCGTCCACATAAAAGGAGCAAGGGTCGTCTTCTCCTCACTCATCCACTCGCTGATTCTCCAGCCTCGCTCATTCTCCAGAGAAGAGAACAACAGAAAGCCTGCGTCAAAATGATGTCTTCTTCATCCACCCGCAGCTACATGTCCTCAGGAGGATCTTCTCAATTTGGTGGCGGAGCTGGTCGTGTCTCATCAATGCGTGCCGGTAGTGTGTATGGAGGAGCAGGAGGATCTGGTGTCCGTATCTCCAGTGCCTCTGCTTCTCGTTCCTTCTCTGCTGGAGGTGCTGGCTTTGGAGGTGGTGCTGGTTTCGGAGGTGGTGCTGGTTTCGGAGGTGGTGCTGGTTTCAACCTGGCTGATGCCATTGATGTGTCTGCAAATGAGAAAGCCACCATGCAAAACCTCAATGACCGTCTGGCCTCCTACCTGGAGAAGGTGCGCACCCTTGAGAAGGCCAATGCTGATCTTGAGCTGAAGATCCGCCAGTTCCTGGAGAGCAAGACGTCCCCCTCTGCACGGGACTACAGTGCCTATTACGCTACTATCACTGACCTTCAGGCCAAGGTACGTGATATAACTAGAGAACATCTAATTCAAGTCAATCATTAACCTACCTTTAGATTAAAAATTATCTAATTTCAATTTCCTCATTTGCAAAGGATATATTAAAAATGCATGGGAAAAAAATACCATATTTCTGAGGTTTCACTTCTCATAAATTTGACTTTTTATTTATTCATTTTTTCCACTTGAAGATTCAGCATGCTACTGGTCTAAACGGGGGCATCTACTTGAGCATTGACAATGCCAAGCTGGCTGCAGATGACTTCAGAGTCAAGTAAGTGAATAAACTAACAGCACTTCCAACATCTATAAAAGGTCAAATAATTTATATCAGTTACTGTTTTGTGCAGATATGAGAATGAGCTGAGCATGAGGCAGTCAGTAGAGGCAGATATTGCTGGGCTGAGAAGGGTGCTGGATGAGCTGACAATGGCCAGATCTGATCTGGAGATGCAGATTGAGGGCCTGAGAGAAGAGCTGATCTTCCTCAAGAAGAACCACGAGGAGGTATGTTGGTACACACTCTTTGAAAAAAAAATGTAATCCTGTAAATGAAACAAATGCTCAGTGGTTTCTTACAAAATCTTTAGGAACTCTTGGCCGCACGTGCCCAGATGAGTGGACAGGTCAATGTAGAGGTTGATGCAGCACCACAGGAAGACTTGACAAAGATCATGGCTGAAATCCGTGAGCACTACGAGGCAGTTGCTAATAAGAATCGCAAGGACCTTGAGGCTTGGTTCCAGTCCAAGGTAAAAATCTGATGTTTTTAAAGAAAGGGCAGCATTATAATCAAAAACAACAGACTTACCTGACTACTTTGCTATGGATTGTCTTTCATAGAGTGAAGCCCTTAACAAGGAAGTTGCTATCAGCACAGAAACCCTTACAACATCCCGATCTGAAATCACAGAGGTTAAACGCACACTCCAGAGTCTTGAAATCGAATTGCAATCTCAACTTAGTATGGTAAGCAAGGAGAAATAAATCCCTTAATGTTCCCAAAATTCCACATTGTGCGGAACACTGAATTATAATTTCCCCCCAACAGAAATCATCATTGGAAGGCACTTTGGCAGAAACACAGGCCCGCTACGGCTCCATGTTATCCGGCTACCAGTTCCAAGTGAGCAGCATGGAAGAGCAACTGGTGCAACTTCGTGCCGATCTGGAGCGCCAAGGTCAAGAGTATAGGATGCTTCTGGACATCAAGACCAGACTGGAGATGGAGATCGCAGAGTACAGGAGACTGCTGGACGGAGAGGCTACTAGGTGAGACATCTACAACACAAAATCTCTAAAGAACAGTGTTTAGATTAAACAGTAGTGTCAACATTTTTCAGTGAGCAGTGGTGACTTTTTGCAACAAACTTAAAATTTGTTGCAAAAAAAAAATTAAAATGAGATGGAAATATCTGCCTAGCATTTAAGTAATTTCATTGTATGTGTTTCTGCCTCTGCAGCGTCTCAACCTCAAGCAAAAGCTCAAGCACAACTACACGCAAAGTGGTAACCATTGTGGAAGAGGTGGTGGACGGCAAAGTGGTCAGCTCATCTTCCCAGGCTACCAGCCAGACCGTGGCACAAAAAAGCTCTTGAGCAGCAACAACCTCAGAGTAATTTTGAAAAATACCAATAAACTGGTCTAACTGAGAATTTCTGTGTTTGTCTTATTTTCTTTAGTTTTGTTTAGATACCATATTGAGTCAATGTGAAAATGTTGGCAATAACTAAAAAAAAAAAAAAAAACAGATAGGCTAGTGTTAGCCTAGGTGTGGTATAAAATATTAGAATCAGAAAAAAGAAATACCAACTAACTCAAAGACCTGATTACACAGCTGTTCTCAATTACCAGTACAAAAATGTAAGTAACAATAAGACAAGATAACAATAAGTTCACTTTGCTGCAAAGGACAAGGACATTATTTTTAATAAATATACATGTAAAAAATTAACAAAATGTTTCACATTTACGCCCTGTCATCAAAATAACTAACTAAATCTCTCTCTGGCACACCCTAAACAATTTGAACGCATTTATACACCACTGAGTATGTAAATAAGTCTAAAACATGACAAATGAGAGTAAAACTAGCAGTGACAAAAAAGTCCACATGTCTGAACATGTACAAAGCTCTCATCTGAGACAAGTTTAGAGGAGGAATGCAAGCGTCTGTCTTACTTATTTGGGGGATTATCATCAACCAGTTTTGACCAGTCTTGTGCTTAAGGTCATTCTCACTTTATTATGCTATGGGGCAAAGGGTGAGGCTACAACACAAAGTTGACAGATTGTTCCAAATAGGCTATGTTATCTCGTTTATGGCACTGAGAGAACTAGGACCACCTCTCTAAAAACCTGTAGTATTGTGAATGTAAAGCAGACACATTTCTACACATCCTTGTAAAATTGCAAATCCAATTGTAAGGTAAATGTTGTGGGAATATAACTTCAACACGCCTTGACCATGTTGTAGCTATATCAATGTGGACATTGTTTTATAGCAGTCGTCAAACTCAGGCAAATGTAGAATATCTTTACACACTTTATCTGAAACCACTGTCTTTATCTTGATTTTTTTTATCTGTCATCATAACTGTTGTTATCTAAATTCGGGAAACATTTCTAGTAGGACTACTCTGGGAATACGGGTTTTAAATGATAGATTATAACGTAATATTATGATATTCAACATCTGGCCATAAATGTAATATATTTTTTGGTGGTAAGTGAAGTAAAGTGTCTCACCTCTGATTCTCTGACTCTCCTCCTCAGAAAACCGCGCCATTCTTGTCACGCGCGCGCGCCCTTGTGGTTGAGCACGCATTCGACGCTGACAAACAAACAACCAGTGTTTGTACATCAAGTTTACATTTCCAAGAAACTTAACTAATTATTGTCTTGAAAAGGATATCTATGGGATTCAAATAACCAAATTTTTTAAGGTGACTCGTTTGCATCAGAGTACTTTACACCGTTGTGGCTTGTTGCTTTAAGATAAATGAATGACAAAACTGATTAACAATCATTAATTTGAATACATTTTCAATGACTATGACTAGTAGGCCTACCATTGGTTAAAACTTTGAAATAGCCAACATATTTTTTTATTTTTATTTATTTTTTTATTTTCTTTACAATAGGTTTGATAATGAGCATTTTTGTGTATACAACGGAGAATTAATTTGTTTGCTCAGAATTCAGTCAACGCTATATAGTGCACTATACTGGGAACAGGGAACTTTTTAAAAATTATTATCATTATTATTTTATTTTATTGTTGCTAAATAGTCTACTGCATATGGAAAAGAGGGAGAGATAAAATTCCTTCAGCTCATGCTGAGCTGGGTAACTGGGTAACACATTGGTCAGAGAAACAGTGAAATTTAGAGGGGCATTCCAAGTTTTATAGAGAACTATTCTCAGTTTTTCTAGAGAAAGGAATCACAATAGATCTTTTAACCAAGATTAGTTGAGGGTGGAGTTGGGCACTTCCAATGTAGCAAAATACATCTAGCAACCAGGAAGGCAAAAGGACCCTCTGCTTGTTCTTTTGTGAAAAGAGAAGAGAAAACAGACACAAAAAAGATGGCAACAATAGGACATAGAGGGAGAGAAATATGCAAAGCCCCTGAAAGAAAGTCAAAAAAGGAAGCCCAGTTTGAGGCCAGGGCAAGTGAATAATGTCATGATCAGCAGGGGAACAGGAGCACCTGATACGAGAATCATCTGTTTCTGGGAACAATTTGTGGAGTCTAGCTTTGGTAGAGTGAGCTCAATGCAAAAATTATATTTGGATATGATACGAGGTCGTTGAATATAGCAAAAGAATTATCAATGAAAAACAATGCCTTTATCATACCATCTATTAAAGTGTGATCAATAACAGATGGCAAAAACAAATGATTGTAGCAAATAGGGCTGAAAACAGAGTGATTTCAAATGAAAATGTTGTCGAAATTGTTTCCAATTTTTTAAAGTTGATAACACAATGGGATTTCTAGTATAACTAGAAGGTCGGAGAGAGGAGCAAAGACTAGTGCTGGAAGAGAAGAAGAGGTACAAGCTTCTACACCAGTTAACCACTGGAGCATTATACCATAATACAATCTTGGAAATGTTAGCAGCCCAGTACAAAAAAAAAAAAAAAAAAAAAGATTGATATGTACAAAGCTTATATCAAATACTCAATATAATAGAACTAAAGGCAAACAATAAATAAATAATAAAATATATAACATAAAATAACACTTTTTATGCAGAGCAGACCCTTGAGCTCAGCCGCCTAAGGGAGGAATTTGATGTTAAGCCAAACATGGTGGGAAACATCCCGCTACATGCTCAAACATGAGAAGGTTCAAACCGTCCACTTTACCTCTTAGTGCCCCTATATGGTAAAACTGTTACATAATTTGCTGCAAGCAAATCTTCATTTGTCAATTAGATCAGCATAGCTCTGAAGTCCCACTTGCGTCTTCCAACATGCCTACATGACTATGATGCAGCTGGTCTTCAAATTCTGCAGTGAGTTTCTGTGACTCAGATTTTAGAGTAACAAGCAGTTTTAAATGAGAGTATCATTTTATTGAGTTCACTTAAAGGGATACTCCACCCAAAAATGACAAATCTGTCATCATTTACTCACCCTTAAGCTGTTGCAAACCTGTATGATTTTCTTTCTTCTGCTGAACACAAAGCAAGATATTTGAGCCCGTTCTCATCCTTTAACGTCATATAGAACGCTATATGACAAAACGGCGCTATACTACGCACATGGCACCCTTTATCGTTAATATAACACGCGAACCCAAGACGTTATAAATCCTTTATCGTGAATATGACACGCACACCCTACCCCACACCTAAACTTAGCCCTCACAGCACGTGTTATATTAACGATAACGGGTGCCATGTGCGTAGTATAGCGCCGTTTTGTCATATAGCGTTCTATATGCCGTTAAAGGATGAGAATGCGTTGGATATTTTGAAGAACGATTGGAACTTTGGCACCATTGACTTCCATAGTATTTTTTTTTCGATATTTAGTATTTTTTTCGATATTTTGAAGAATGCCGGTAAGCAAAGAGTTGATGGACCCGAGTTTCATAGTATTTTTTCTCTATATGGAAGTCAATGGTGCCAAACAACTTTTTGGTTCCAATCGCTCTTCAAAATATTTTCCTTTGTGTTCAGCAGAAGAAAGAAACTCATCCAGGTTTGCAACAACTTAAGGGTGAGTAAATGATGACAGGTCTTTCAATTTTGGATTGAGTATCCCTTTAACAGCCTTTAAAAGGATGCTTGGGATTCGTTCATCATTTACTCATCCAAATTGTTCCAAACCTGTATGAGATATTTAAGTAAAGAAGATATTTTGAAGAATGCTGGTACGCAAAGAGTTGATGGACCTGAGTTTCATAGTATTTTCTTCCATATATGGAAATCAATAGGGCCATCAACTGTTTGGTTATAGACATTCTTCAATTATCTTCTTTTGTGTTCAACAGAAGAAAGAAACTCATCCAGGTTTGGAACAAATTGAGGTTGAGTAAATGATGACAGCATTTTCATTTTTGGATGAACTACCCCTTTAAAGGTGGTCTAGAATATTCCAGGGTTTCACTGTAGAATCAGCAGTGAAAAATGTCCACAAATGTCTGAACATGTACAGAGCTCTCATGTGAGAAAGTTAAGAGGGGGAATGCAAGCGTCTATCTAACTTACTTGAGGGGATTATCAATCAGTCAATTTTGTTTTAGCATCACTTTTCAACTTTATGATGATTGAAGCTGACAGAATGCCTGTGCCAGCAAGTTTTTGATGGATTTAAGGTCACCAAGTCTTTCCCTGCTTGCTTCACCAGCACATAAAAGGACCCAGAGTTTCTCCACTGTACTCACTCTCCACGCAGAGCAGAGTAAGACCTCAAACCACCATCCACATGGCTACCACCTTCTCCAGCGGCAGCTTTGTCTCCAGCAGGTCCTCAATGGGCTCCTCACGATTCTCCAGTTCAGGTGGAGGTGGCCGCATCAGTGCCATGAGGGCTGGCAGCGTGTACGGGGGTGCAGGGGGTTCAGGGGTCCGGATCTCCAGTGTCTCTCGTTCCATGTCCGCAGCAGGGTCAGGAAGTGGATTTGGAGGCGGGTTTGGTGCTGGTGGAGGATTCGGTGGGGGATTTGGTGCTGGAGGAGGGGGAGGATTCAGTGTCTCTGGAGGAGCAGATGACAGCATCATTGGCAATGAGAAGTTCACGCTGCAGAATCTTAACGATCGTCTGGCTACTTACCTTGAGAAGGTCCGCTCACTTGAAAAGGCCAATGCTGAATTTGAGTTGAAGATACGCCAATTCCTTGATAGCAGAGTCTCTCCTTCTGGCAGTGCTCGTATCTACTCAGACTTCGAGGCTACTACCAGTGACCTCCAGGCTAAAGTAAGTCTAGCTAGGTAGATTCTTTGTGGTTACTGCTAAGAAAACGGCATAATTCTGTATTCCTGAAACAACATGCAAATAAAACAAAATCAAATAATGTTTTACTTTTCCTGGGTTTTGTTCTCAGATCTTGGCTGCCATGCAGGTGAAGAACACAGTCCACCTCAGCATTGACAATGCTAGCTTGGCTGCAGATGATTTCAGAATGAAGTAATTCTATTTATTTTTAATTAAATATAGACTATATGCTGTGTAAATGCACATACGTTCTAGAAAAACGATAACATATAATTGCAGTGCAAGGCAAGTCATCTGCTTTTGGGTCATTTCATTTGCATGTTCTTCTCTGTGACAAAAGCTAAACATTTTAAAATAGTTTAATAATCTATTTGCATATTAAAATACCATGGAAAATGAAATAGTAAACTATTATAGCAGTAGACTATTAATTTAACGTAAATAATGTTTCTTTTTATTTGACAGATATGAGAATGAGATGGCAATGCGTCAGTCTGTGGAGGCCGACATCGCGGGGTTAAAGAGTGTTCTTAGCGAGCTCAACCTGAACAATAAAGACCTCAATCTGCAGATCGAAGGGCTCAAAGAGGAGCTGGTCTACATGAAGAAGAGTCACGAGGAGGTAGTACATCATTTCAAAACTTTCAGGCTGTTCATAATGGAGCAGAGCAAAACGGAAGATTACTGTCAACAAGTGTTCCAGTTAAACATTTCAGACAGGAGGTCAGGTCACAGGTGCTTTATAGCCTTGAGCTCAAGATGTCACTGTTTTGTAACATATTTCCATAGCATGATTTTTGAAGACAAGAATAAACAGGTGATGATGGGCAGATATTTTGAGATAGACGTCTGAAAATTATATATAATGTGTCTTCAGGACCTCTTGGCCTCACGTGAACAGATGAGTGGACAGATCAATGTGGAAGTCGAAGCAGCACCACAGGAAGACCTCACCAAAATTCTTGCGGAGTTGCGTGAGCACTACGAAACCGTCGTAGCCAAGAGCCAGAGAGACCTTGAAGGCTGGTTCCAGCAGAAGGTTGGTTCAGTCCAGAACTCTGTACATGAGAAACACAACACCCATAAAGTCATATGCATTCCATGGGCCCTGCAAAAAGAAATATCATAATTAAGTTGGTACAAATAATAGTTAATGAAAGGAAAGCAAAACAAAATTTGAAAACTGATCAGATCTTGCAAAAAAAGCTACCTCTATGTTGGGTTTATGCATGCATGAAATAAAAATACTAATTTAAATACTTATTTTGCAGTCTGAGGCTGTGAAACAAGAGGTTGTAACAAGCACAGAGACCTTGCAGACGTCAAAAACCGAGGTCAGCACAGTGAAGAGCACAGTACAGTCACTGGAGATTGAGCTTCAGTCCCTCCTTTCCATGGTGAGTGTGTGTTCAAGAAATGGACAGTGGGCACAAAAACTCTTCAGACACATAAGTCACACTAACTCTTACATGCCATTTTTCTTACTGTGCTGAAGCACATGCCTTTAAACATAATACTTGTTTCTCTGAAAAACAATGTTACAGCCAGTTGTTCTATTGTAAAATGTGCGTTCCGTGTCAGAATATCTGTCTTTGTTTTGATCTGTGTGATCCCACCAACTGCCAATTGAATTTACCCAATGGCATTTCAACACCCTGGGTTTCCAGTTGGTGGAAAACACTGCGATGGAAGCCAGCAAATGATCGCAAATTCTACCGACCAACAAAAACATTCCAAACATACATTAGCTGATCAACTTATACTCTAAGGCTTGTTGCTTTCCATTATCAATTACAATCAATCTGGGTGTGAGCATGAAGTCTGAAGAGGAGGCGGGCAAAAATTCCCAGTAGCACTTCATTGCAGTACACATGATCCAGGGGGCGGAGTTGGATCCAGATCTAAGGGGTGGAGATGGGTAGGATTAGGGGTGGGGTTCTGGATCCAAATCTTCCCCCTGGATTTCGTGTTCTCAAAACTCTCTCCAATATTTTGGGCTGCAGGTAATTGGGTAATTTCAACTGCTAGCTGTCAATATTACAACGTTAACAATTTATGAATGTCAGTGCAATAGATATCAAAATCTCAAACCAAGTGCCATTTACTTACTTCCCCAAAACATTATGTCATTAACTATTCACCCTCATGTCATTCCATCCCCATAATACTTTCCTATATCTTCAGAACACAAATGAAGATCTTTTTCGATGTAATCTGAAAGCTTTCTGTCCCTCCATAGACAGCTACACAGCATCACTAAGTTCATAAAGAGATCATCCAAAACTACGTAAAACTAATCCAAATGAATTGAGTGGCTTAGTCCAAATTTTCTGAAGAAACTTTCACTTAATATGATGAACAGATTTAATTTAGGCTTTTATTCACGTTTAAACATTGATCAGCGAACATAAACAAGTTAAACCGAACCTGTTTGATACGCGAAAACAAACCTCTTCCTGAAACTCAAACGTGCTGCGTAACACAAGAATGAACCTCATTGGTTCTTGCCGAAGCTCAAACGTGATGCGTAACACCAGAATGAACCTCATTGGTTTCCGCATTTGTCAGTCGATCATGCTTGAGCTTCTGTTTACCACAACTAATGTGTGAGTTGATTAATGTCTATATGTGAATAAAAGCCTAAACTAAATCTGTTCATCTTATAAAGCGATCATGTCTCTTCAGAGAATTAAACCGCTCATTTCATATGGATTTGTTTTATGATCTCTTTAATACGTTTTTGAAGCTTCAATGCCAGTTGCGTAGACTGTCTGTGAAATCACTCAGAAATCACTCGAAGATGAACGAAAGTCTTACGGGATTGGAACGATTTTTTTTATTTTTAGGTGAACTACCCCTTTAAGCATTAAGCAAATTATTTATATATATTATATAATTTATGTATAATGTTGATAAAACAATTCGAAAGTAAGACAAAAGTATTTGTGTACTTTCTGCTTATCAAAGTTGAAAGAAATTTACAATTTTGGTCATTGCTAACAGACTTTTTTTCTCATTATCCCTGCTTCCCAGAAATCATCTATGGAAAGCACCCTGAGTGAGACTGAGAATCGCTATTCCCTGCAGCTGTACGGATACCAGGCACAGGTGAGAGCTCGGCTAAGAATCTCATAAATCTTACTCTTACTGTAGCCGGCTCATTACAGTTTTTCTCCGTCGCTTTGGTGCATTTCTCAGATCAGAAGTGAAATTGTCAAAACTACTTGTTCAACCTCCACATCATCTAGTCACTTGTGCACAAGCAGTTTCTCGTTCTTTTGAACAAGTTGCGATTGCTTTACATTCATGCAATTGATTATGTGCAATTGTCTCCGGTTTCCTATCAGTTGAAAATGCCATGTTGCTTAACTGTATTAAATAGTTATCTGTGCAGTAGTCTTACCGCTCAAAACATCTAGCCATCAGTTCATTGTATAAAGTCATTAAATGCAAAATGGTTAATCTAGTTGTCATAAACTGTCAAGCATATGTTCTACACATTTCTATTGACTTTGTAAATGTGCCAAGAAGTAATGAATTGTGCGAGTGAATCTTGACTTTCACTAATGAAGAGAATGTAGATCAGACCAGTTCTCTGAAATAGCTCAAAGTTGCATCTCAAGAACATTCAATTGGCAAGCATACAGTATAAAGTGCTGCATGCAAAGGCAAATTCCTTCCTTGCCTTTCTAATGTTTTATTTTCACCTTTGTGGCCCTACACTCTAAAAACAAATGGTGCTAAATAGCACTAAAAGTGGCTCATTGGCTTGTAATCATAGGGGAACCACTTTAAGTGCCACTTATCTTTGTCATATGGTGCTATGTAGAACCATAAGAGGTGCCATAGAGCACGTTAACCACCTCAGAGAACCACTGAAGAGCCAAACTGGGCTTAACAGGTTCTTTAAATGATAGTGGTGCTATACTGTATAGCACCATGACCAACGCAAAGAACCGCTGAAGAACCTTTTTTTTTTTTAGAGTGTATTTTTTTTCTTCTTTTCTATATCACAATAATATTGTACGGTTGTTTTTTTGCCAGTCTCTTTCAATCACGTAGAGTAGTGGGTAAATTTGTACTTTTTAAATGGCATACAGAACAAGTGCATTTCATTACAGTAATTCTCACTGACTGAATATTTTGACTATCTTGTTTGTGAACAATGATACCAGGACATTTCATTCTTGGCACTGATATGTTCATTGACATAAATACTTACTTTTGAGAGATGAACTAAATATTTTGAGTAAGTTACAGGCTTTTGCAGGTAATCCAATGTGTGGTGCTGTTTGTATGAATTTAATTTGAGAATGCACATACTTCTTTGTAAATATTAATGATGATTTGAGAAGTGCACCAAAGCGAAACCTTGACCTGTATTGGGGTTAAAAGCTCTGTCTTCTCCCCTTGTAGGTGGGTGGAATGGAGGGCCAACTGGTGCAGCTCCGGGCTGATCTGGAGCGCCAAAGTCAGGAGTATCAGATGCTCCTGGACATCAAGACCAGACTGGAGATGGAGATCGCAGAGTACAGGAGACTGCTGGATGCCGAGGCTAGTGGAAGGTAAATCACAGACCATGTTTATATAGACATCAACAAGCTCGGCTCCAAATTGGTATATTCTTGCATACATGCAGACTGAAAAGTACTCATTCTTTTCCTGATATAGATGCTATAGGTAGATAGATAGATAACTGGTTGCGTATTTTTGTCTCCCGACAGCCTCGCAATCTCAGCCAGCTCTGGCTCCAGCTCCTCCTCCAGCTCCATCACTTCCACCAGAACAGCAGTGATCACTGTTGTGGAAGAGGTGGTCGACGGCGGGACGGTGATTTCTTCCTCTTCAACAAAGCTTATTAAGTAAAGCACACCAGACTCATGTCAGTTGGAGAATGCACCTAGCATGCTGACAAAAATGTGGTGGTAGTTTGTGAGCATTTTCAACAATAAAAACATCCCATAGACAAAATGCGTGTGGTTCTGTCATCTATTGTACGTATATGGGCGCAATTTTGAAATGTTTCGACTTAAAGGGGCTATGTGTAGGTTTTTACTTCTTTTTTTAAATCTTTAAAGAGCCCCTATCATGGATTTTTGAAAATGACTGTTCATATGGTGTGGAATATAGCTCTAAGGGAATGCAAACATCCTGCAAAGATTTATATCTGAAAGTGCAGCGTATATAAAGTTATTGTCTTTCAAAAGTGAGAGTCGACTCCGAGTCTATGAAATGAATTGTTTTTGAAACGAGTCATTAGCTGGTTCGTAGTGACGTAGAGAGGTCATTGGCCGCGCGCAGTAACGGAAGTGTAAACTTGAAGTCTACACATTCAAATACTTCATCATAGCATCATGTCGAGAAGACGCTGTGTTCTACAATGCAAAGATAGTTCAGCCACTTTGTTTCCATTGCCCAGGGACGAGCATGTGAAGAATCGGTGGTTAGAGTTCATATTTGCAACGATACCACAACAGTATAGCCCGATTGTGTTCTCATCATTTTAATTACGAATCGTTCAAAAACATAAATGAATTCAAATGTGGATTCGCAAGCGGTTGTTCCTGAAGGAGGGCTCAGTAACTTACTTACCCAGTGTATATGGATCAGCTTCCTACTTCGAATCACAACCTATAAGTATTATTAATAATTGTTGCTTTTATGGGTTTTGAACGGTTTTGTAGCGTCGGGGCGCGAGGAGGGAAGGCGCAATAAGTATGTGTGTGTGTGTGTGTAAGTTCTGCTCAGCGCAGCTTCTAGGTCTCCAATGTCAATTTTTTTTTAAATATGTGAAATGTTTGTCGCTGTTATTGGAGTTGTCATAAAGAATAGAGCGTATTGTAGTATTACAGTGCTTTATCAATATGTTTATGCATTATGCTAACAAACAATAACTGTCTGGGTCATCTGACCAATCACCGCCGATTAGCGTCACGCAAAGGAGTGGTGAGTCGTACGAATCATTTGGGAGTCGGTGAGCAAATCAGTTCAAAATAAATGCATATTATAAGACAAATAAAGTGTTTTTTATCATTGCATGCATGTTAAACTGTTTTTGGGAACTCCTAAAACAAAAATAGGAACATTTCAAATGCTATGATAGGGGCTCTTTAAGATAGAGGGCCCTATCACCCAGCAAAATTGACTTTGTACACCGACGCATGTATAATTCGTATTTTGCACCCGTGCAAAGCGGGCTTTTCGCTTATCGGTAAACTAGGGAATGAACTTGTGCTCCCTGGGCGGTTCAGCGCAAAAAAGGAGGCGTGTTTCGGCGCAAACAATCCCTGGTGCTATTTTGCAGTTCCAGAAAACAATTGCGCCAATGACCAGAAAAAACCTAGTCTAAAGTCAGTGGCGTGACATTCAGATGCTATTTTAAGCGCTAGGACCAACCCCTTTTAGATTTGCGTCGGGTGCAAGAGTCATTTATCCCGCCGGTTAAATAGCAACAGCACCCAAGACCTGCCCACAAAGTTGCTTGCGCTTTGCACTTTACACTCACGGGCCCAAAGTCTTCATTTATACATTTATGAGCCAGCCGTAATGTAATGGAAAGAATGACGCTTTGACTGTCCACCACGGTTGCCTCTATCAGCCTGTACGCTCAATTGTGTGTAGACGATTATCGATTAATTGTCGATAATACATTAATCGATCAAACTCATCGAGCATCGATTAACCAGGTCTATGCGCGTGCCTGCTGCTCAACCGCGAAACATGTAAGCGACCGCGCTGGAGTTATGTTTTGGGACTTCATCATGACTACGTTTGCGTGTGTATTCGCAGCCTTTTCTTTTATGCAAATGTAAGTTGTAATAGTTTATTATGTGTACGCCTTTCTATATCTGATTTATCTCATATTTGATGCATTTTGTTTCGCGAGCGTGCGCACCGAGAAGCAGCATGAGACTGGGTGCAGTTTCTCTAGCGGCCACTGGTGTCAGAACTTCCACAATGCACCTTTAAAGGAGTAGTTCACTTTTAAAAAAAACTTTTGCTGATAATTGACTCACCCCCTGTGTCATCCAAGATGTCCACGTCTTTCTTTCTTCAGTCGAAAAGAAATTGAGGTTTTTGATGAAAACATTCCAGGATTTTTCTCCATATAATGCACTTTAATGGTAACCAAACGGTTCAAGGTCCAAAAGAGAGTTCGAATCTTTTTCGTATCATTTGGTTCATTCAACGAACGAAATGAGTGAATTGACTCGTAAAAAGAATAGGAGAGTCATGAACGCGCATCACAGAACAGAGCAAGGTGACCATTTGTGCTTATAAAACTTAAACTTTTTTTTTTTAAATGAGCGATCGTTTTGCTTGATAAGACCCTAATCGTCTTCAGTTTGCACTGAAACTGTCTTTTGGACCTTGAACTGTTTGGTTCCAATTGAAGTCCATTATATGGAGTGAACTACTCCTTTAAGTAAAAGTAAGGTAAAGTGAGCAAAACAAATGCAAAGTGGGTATTACAAATGCACGTCATTAAACATTTCCCATACCAATTCAATCACATCCTCAAATAAATCAAGGTGAGCATTATTTCTCATTCCATTATCCAAAATCTTAAATACAGTGTTGTTAACTATAGGTTAGCAAAACCTCAGAAATGCAACTAAAACAGTTTTGATAGTTTAGCCCATCAACACATGAACAGACTTCAGACTGTCTGTTGAATGAATACACGGGAATGCGAGTCTATGATGGCAGTGGGAGTAAACATTCACGATACGATGACAAGATAGGGTTAGTCTTGGGTCAGTGCACGATAAAGCAGTTAGCATTGCACAATCTTGATAAATCTCTTCTGCTAACATTGAAAAGCAACAAAAAGGTCAAACTGGAATGAAAAAGATTCAAGTTTCAATTGCTGCTACAATGACAAAAACAAACAAATCTGTTAATTGTTCTGATGAACTTGCTTTGGAAAAACCTCACCTTTCCATGTTAATGCTGCTTTACATGAAGAAACCACAAATGTCAAACTCATCAACAGCAGAAATGTCAGCCCAACCCAGCCCAGCCCAGCCCATAAAAGAAACGTGGTTTGTTCAGTCAGCAGAATTCATTTTCATGGTACAAATGTGGAGGTCTTTCAACTCACACGTTTAAAGCATCTCTTTTCCTGATGAATGCTGTGCTACTGGATTCTCTACACAGGATGGTAGCAAAAATATACACATATATACATTATTATACACACAATGCTGTCCAAAAGTCTTAGGCACGTATCCCCCTAAAAAAATATATATATATTTTTAAGCCAATTATTTATATCTTACTTTTTCAAACATTCCTTTTGTCATTAATTGTTGTAATCCAATAGGATTTTTGTATGTTCAACATCTGGTGATCTCCCCATCATCGAGTCTGTCTGTGATTACACGAAGAAACCGAGACACACTAAATCCAGAAGAACTGCGGCAACAAATCCAGAAACCCAACTGCAAAATCGTTGCTGTAAAGTGAGGATGCTTTCAAAAATAAATAAATTTGATTTAACTTCTATTAACTAAATCAAATCAATATTTGGTTTGACCACCCTTTGCTTTTGTCCAGGTACACTAAACAAATACTAACGTGCCTATGACTTTTGCACAGTCCTCTATATTACAGTATTTTTGTCTTGGTTTAAGTATCGGTAATAATTTACAACAAGGTTCATTAGTTAACATTAATGTATAAACTAACATGAGAAATACATTTGTTACTGTATTTATTAGTTCATGTTAACTAATGAACCTTATTGTAAAGTGTTACCAATATATCTAAACATTTTTAAAAAAGATACATTTACTTGTGTATGATTTTAAGGGTTGTTTAAAGTATAAGATCTGAGAGAAGTCTCTAATGCTCACAAGGCATTCAAAAAATATTATTACAATTAAAAATATGTTTTCTATGTGAATATATTTTAAATGTATTCCTGTGATCAATGCTGAATTTTCAGCATCATCATTTTTCAGTCTTCATAGTCACATGATCCTTCAGAAATCACTCTAATATGATGATTTACTACTCCAGAATAATTTATCATCAATGCTGAAAAAAGTTGTCCTGCTGCTTCATACGGTATGTTTGTGCAAACCATGATAACTTTTGAAAAGAAAGTTCAACAGCATTTAATTTGGATCATGATAAATGTCTTTCCTCTCACTTTTGATAAACTGAATGCAACCTTGCTGAATAAAAGTGAGAACTTTTATCACTGATCCCAAGCTTTTTAAAGCATAAACTCAAAAATTTTTGAGAGGTTTGTATGCATGTTTACAGAAAGAAAACTTAAGACATATGAAGAGTTCAGATGCAAAAGCCTCTAAATGCCATTTGAAATTTTCTTCTTTAATGATGATTTTTATCAAACTTGTATATTTAAGTTCAGTAATTTCACTTAAATGGCAATGATAATTACCTATTAATTGTTATTTAAGTGAAATTACTGAACTTAAATATACAAGTTTGATAAAAATCATCATTAAAGATGAAAATTTCAAATGGCATTTAGAGGCTTTTGCATCTGAACTCTTCATATAAAGAATAAAGTGTAATTAATACGATCATTATGAGTCATGAATCCTACAATTCACCTTAGGTGTGACCTTTAAGGTTATTGGATATGTTCCAGAAAATGTGCTGAGACGACACGCATGGAATGTCAGGTATTGTGTCTTGTATTCATATTCACTCTATAAAAGAAGCCGGAGATCTCCTTCCTTTATCCACCGACCTGTCAGACAGACGCTCTCAGTCAACATGGCTTCCTCCTACTCTTCCCGAAGCAGCTACATGTCCTCCAGCGGCTCAGCCATGCGCATATCCACGTCGAGTGGAGGAAGCAGACGGATGAGCACCGTGAGGTCTGGCAGTGTGTACGGTGGTGCAGGAGGGTCAGGGGTCCGGATCTCCAAATCCTCTCTTTCCTCTCTAGGGGGTTTCAGCGCGTCGACATCTGCAGACACCAGCTTCATTGGCAATGAGAAACACACCATGCAGAGCCTCAATGACCGTCTGGCCGCTTACCTGGTCAAGGTTCGCTCTCTGGAGAAGGCCAACGCGGACCTGGAGATGAAGATCCGTCAGTTCCTTGATGGCAAAGCCTCTCCTATTGCTCGTGATTACACCTCCTACTTTGCCACCATAAAGGATCTTCAGGCTAAGGTATGTTAGGGTTTTCAGGGTGACATGCTATGAAAACACGGGGCAAAAAGAAAATCATATGTTCATTTATATGTCCAGATCATGGCAGCCATTCATTTGAAGGGTGGTGTCCATCTCAGCATTGACAACACCAGCCTGGCCATTAATGATTTCAGAATGAAGTGAGTCTTTTGAGCAAATTCAATTCAAGTTTGCAACTCAACTCATATCATAGCAGAAAATCTCTTTATAAATATTGTTGGTTTAACTTTTAAAAAAAAGTAACCTGGTTGCCTTAAAAGTTTTAAGTTCACTAAAATGGAAAATTTGAGTTAATACAATGAGGGAGATTGATTTAATCATCAGAAACTCAAAATGTTATGTTATCTGAACTACATAAGTTATCTACGTTGATTTGACAAAAGAAAAAATGTGATTACAAATCTATCTATCTATGTGTCTATCTTTCTAAAAAAAATAATAGAACAAACAAGGAAATAATATCATTTGTAATAGAAAAATGCAAAATAGCAGCATATTGTTGGTTTAACTCAAACAAGTGAGTTACCTAGTTGCCTTAACATTTTGAATTCATTGAAATTAAAAATTTTAGTTAATATAACAAAGGAGATTGATTTAAAAATAGAAACTCAGAGTTTCTATTTTAAATCAATCTCCTTTGTTGTATTAACTCAAATTTTGTAAAAAAAAAAATATATATATATATATATATATATATATATATATATTGTTGGTTTAACTTAAAAAAGTAAGTAACCTGGTTGACTTAAAATTTTAAGTTGATTGAACTGGAAAAAGGGAGTTAATACAATGAAGGAGATTGATTTAATCACCAGAAACTCAAAATAATAAGTTATCTCAACTAAATAAATTATTTAAGTTGATTTGACCAAAAAAATGTTGTTATAACAAATTTTGAATTTTTTTTCTACAGTGATGCTATCTGAACCACATTCGTTAACTAAGTTGATTTGACAGAAGATAAAAAGAAAAACGAAAAAATTCGTTTAATATTTGTATTTCACTCATATTTTAAACCCAAAATGTTTTATATTATATGATAAAATTGTTATAAAATGTTATCTCTGTGGCCATATCAATTACAAAATATTGTTTAAATTGTTAAAAAAAAAATTCCCCACAGAAATAATTTAGAGGGATTTCAACAAGGTTTTAAAATTTAAGTACAATCAACTTCAGTGTTTAAGTCATTTAAACTTAAATGACATAAACTGACTTTAGAATGAGTGGAGATCTTGTATAACTTGAAAATGACTTGTTTTGATGAGTTAAAGCAGTGTAAAAACAATTGATCATATATTTTTTTACAGCGAGAATAAAAACATGAGTGTTGCATTAAATGAGTTTTACCTCAGTTTGGAAGTGGTCTTCTCGCAGTATATTGTCTAATGTCCAGTGTGGGTGTTTCTAAAGTCAATGTTGCTGCATGACAGATATGAAACCGAGCATGTCATGCGTCAGTCTGTGGAAGCAGACATTGTCGGGCTGAGGAGGGTGCTTGATGACTTCAACCTCAGCAGTAAAGACCTCACCGTGCAGATCGAAGGGCTGAAGGAGGAGCTGGTCTTTTTGAAGAAGAACCATCAGGAGGTATATAAGGCTTCTGTGTGCTAGTTTAAAGAAAGTAGTGTTAGAATAAGTTATACTAGCAAAAACAGTCACTTGTCAATTACAGTTCAACTCTGAATCTATACTCTAATGCTGTGCCAAGTATATTTGAGAACAAATTTGTGACAAATGTTTAAGAGTTGTTAAATAAGTGAGGTTACTTGAACTGAATATATGGATTTCTACATATTCTTAGGATCTCTTGGCCGCACGCACACAAATGAGCGGACAGGTTCACGTCGAGGTTGATGCGCCTCCACAGGAAGATCTCAGCAAGATCCTGGCAGAACTCCGTGAGCATTATGAATCCGTCACAGCGAAGAACCAAAGAGATCTGGAGTACTGGTTCAAGACAAAGGTGAGATTTATCAAAACATACAGGGAGAGACACAGGTCTTTTAAAGGGATAGTTCACTTTGAAATTAATTTTTGGTATGTTTTAGCTTACCTCACGGGCATCCAAGATGTAGGTGTCTTTGTTTCCGCAGTAGTTTCAATTTTGATATTTTTAGGCTAACCGTTCATGTCTATCAGTCATATAATGGAGGTCAATGGTCACCACCTCAAAGAGCATGCACAGAGAAGTCCAAATTAAACATGATTTAATGACTCGTAAATGTAAGTACACATTAATGGCCGAAGACACGAAACGAGCGGTTTGTGTGAGAAAACGAACAGTATTTATAGCGTTTTTACCTCTTGCAACCAAAGCCACAAAGCACCCGCGCCCTCAGATCACATGGTTACAAGAGGTAAAAATGATATAAATACTGTTCGTTTTCTCACACAAACCGCTCGTTTCGTGTCTTAGGCCATCAATGTGTACTTACATTTACGAGTCATTAAATCATGTTTAATTTGGACTTCTCTGTGCATGCTCTTTTAGGTGGTGACCATAGACCTCCATTATATGACTAATAGACATGAAGCCTAAAAATATCAAAATTGAAACTACTTACATTTTGGATGCCCTTGAGGTAAGCTAAAACATACCAAAAATGAATTTCAAAGTGAACTATCCCTTTAATGTGCTTTTCAATGGTGTGAGACAACTCAATTCAACGCATATAACATCCCTCTATTTTTATTTTAGACAGAAACTCTGAAACAAGAAGTTGTCACCAGCACCACAGACTTAAAAACAACTCGCTCTGAAGTCAATATGGTCAAATCCAGAATGCAGTCATTGGAAATCGAACTCCAGTCCATATCAGCAGTGGTTAGTGATACACAATTTGCAGTTTTTGTGGCACTTTATATTAGTATTTTAGTTTTACTTTATTCTGAATGTGCATGTTATCAATTTAGAAAGCATCTTTGGAGGCCACATTGTCTGAAACAAAGAATCGTTATTCCATGAAGTTGTCAAGCTACCAACATCAGGTGAGTAGATTCACAAAGAAAAGGGATTGATCATACAAAAATCATACAAACCTGACTTTCTGAACATTATTCAGCAAGAATTTAAGATCTGAAACCACTCGGTTTTTGTGCTTCTAGGTCACCATCCTGGAAGAGAATATGGTGCAGCTTCGTGCCGATCTGGAGCGCCAGCGTTACGAGTATCAGATGCTCCTGGACATCAAGACCAGACTGGAGATGGAGATCGCAGAGTACAGGAGACTGCTGGACGGAGAAACCACGTGAGTTTATCTGTTGATTTCTTTCACATAATTCGTTCAGCTCCAAAACATTACAAATTCCCAGGAATCGACAAGTGTTAGGCTATACTGAGTTTACAATGATGTCCTGTAACTGTTTTTTCTTCTACAGTGTCAAAACCACCTCCAGTTCCACCGCGAGGACTAAAATCATCACCGTTGTGGAAGAGGTTGTAGATGGAAAAGTGGTTTCCAGCTCCACGTCTTCAACCATATCTGACGCTCGCGTAATAACCAAATAAAACAGTGTTTTGGCCATTTCTGTGGTGGTAATGATGCATTGTCAGCAGATCTACTTAAATCTTAAAAATTGGATTATATTTTTAATAATAATCCGACACATTATTTTCAAATAAAACAAAAAAATATTTTAAATTAAAAAATGTATTAAATAAATTGTATTCTGCTGGAAATGATTACATTCAATTAGCTTTTATTTAATTATGAAATTACATTTTTGCAGAAAATATGCATCCCTATCTATATCTAAAGATGTGTATTCTGCAGTAGGATTACATTTATGTGTGGATAATATTAGATGGGGGGGGGGGGTATAATAAATATAGGCATTTAAAGTGCACTTTTAAAAACAATTAAGGTTTTCTAATGGCATCAATGATTCATTTCCTATGGTTCATTGGAGAACTGTTCACTTAAAGGTTATTTGGTGAACTAAAATTGTTCTTATATGAAAAACAAAACCTTTTATGAGCCCCTATCTTTAAAAAAGAAGGTTCTCATATAATATAAAATATTTTTAGCATGTTATTGCAATATATCTGCAAACAGAAACAGCATTTCCTGGTTCTACATAAATCTTTCGCTCATCATGACTTCATTTCACTTTGAGGGTTTTTCTGTGACATCCATTAAACTAGCTCATTTTCAGTTTAAACTATTTTTCATGAAAAAGAAAAAGACCTACAGTTCACAAACAGCAGGTGGCGCTCCTGAATGTCCAATAAAGTTGGGCTCTTTCAGATTTCAGGGCCAGGCTACTTTTTAGCAAACCTGTCAAGAAAACATTAGCCATTAACATTTCAGCAGAGTATCAAAGTGTAATGAGACTCTATAAACCAAGTAACAGGTTTTGCTTGAGGGCCCATGTTTTACAGTTGACACCAAGTGGCATCCCAACAGTAAAACAATAGTTTAACATAAAAAAATGAAGCAGACACAGATATCAAAACAAACAGGCCTGTTTTTTAAATCATAACTCCGTGAGTGGAGAACCAAATTGAAATAAGTTAAATACAGGTGTGTATTAAGAAAGACTGAAAATGAAAGATTTTAAAAACATGTAAGAGATCATAAACAACGACAAAAATGCAGGTTTGATTACTTACAGTACAAGCTGGTTCAGAGCAGATGTGTTGATGACGAGATGACAGAGACCTCTGGTGGCTGACCTAAGAATCATGGGTATAAAAATTAGGCTATGTCAAGATTTCGGCATCCTACTAAAGAAATGTAGAAAAATATACATTTGTACCTATTTTAGAAAGCAAACATCACTTTAATTCCGTATTAAACATTAAATTAAAAACCTCACACTAAGCCATCTTCAGTGCAGGGTGGATTATTTACAAATAGTCCGTCAGTTAGTAACGTAACCCATTACACATACACCTAAGGTAGGCTAATATAATCTAATACTACGTTTAAATCGTTTATCACATTAATGTAAATTGGATAATCTTGTATAATATAGATAGTAATTAGTTGAATACTTATAAGTTTGATTACTTATAAGTAGGCTAATCAAATCAAATAAAGAATAAAAATAATATAAAAATCTCTCTCTATATATATATATATATATATATATATATTATTATTATTATTACTAAACACTTCCTAAAAAATATATATTTTTAAATATATTATTTGTTTACCTGTCATGTGACGATTACCGACATCAGAAAACCGCGAACTAAATTGTATTATTATTATTATTTTTATTAGTGACCTAATTTTTTTATTCACCTAACTTATTAACTTAAAATCTCAGATGATGCTTCAAGTAGGAATATATTAGTTCAAAGAGGTTCGGGTGACAAAATAAATAATAGGCTAAAGAAAGTGGGGAATCACTGCATTGCATCTGAATATGAAATGACATGAATTTGTACATTGTAATGTGTTTGCAAGACATAAGCCTTCCAGAGGCAGTAATACATGGTTAAATAACTCACTGAGTGATCATTTAAATAATAATTAATGTGGTCGTCAGGAGCTGATTAGAAATGCGATGTTGAGAAAACACTTCTTAAAAGTGAAATGATTTGTATCCAGTGATTTCAGGCTCATGGCTATTCTTTGTGTGCAATTTCACAAACCTGGAAGACCTTCTGAACGTAAGTTTAAAGTAACCAAGTAAGAAAGGAACATTTAAAAGTAAAAGTAGGGAGAATCAATGAATTATGAATAATAATTAATTGTGAGAATAACATCAAGTAATCAATATAAAAGTAACTGCATTTTAAAACGTAATATTATAATTACAAGTACATGTAATCAGTTACTACCAGCACTTGCCATCCTTGTATCCTTTGTGGTCTCCAATGTGTCAAAATATATCAAGAGTAAATATCAGCCAGCAGCAAGAATCTGACTCAGAAGACCATGCTAGGAAAACACACGGCTTCAAGTCATTTTAGTTAGTAGTACAACTCCTTAAAGATACATTTAGTACACTACATGAATAATTGCCCTGGAACAGCAGGGAATTAAGTCTTTTTGTTTTTGTGTGTTATCAGTCCACATCCTAAAAAATAATCCTACTGGCAACTACTTTAACTTTATAATGCAGCTCCAGCCATGCACAGACAATAAAACTGCCTGTAAAATAACAAATGACCGTATGTAAAAAAATTGTTTTTAAATTTATCCCTGTTGCCATAATGTGTAATGGAAAAAAAACAAAAAAACATCCAAATCTTTTCAGTTCATGCTAAGTTTACTTTAGCCTACTTTAGACTGGCTCCCTTGTGAAGGATGATACTATTGGGATACCAATTAGGTGATAAACATCCATAATAATTTGGAGTCAAACAAACCAAGTTCAGTGATTCTCACAGGACTTACGAATATCATTAGCGGCAGAGATAAAACATGTGGAGACTGGCCCATAGAATCACATTAAAATTACATTAATATGTGCGTGGGGAGGAGGCGGGGGGTGTTGAGAGAGAGAGAGAGAGAGAGAGAGAGAGAGAGAGAGAGAGAGAGAGAGAGAGAGAGAGAACATTTCTTATCTTCTGGGATGAATGCTCTTGCATAATGTCTGCTTTTATTTACCCCAAAATCCAAATCACCAGTTTCTTGAAATACATCTGAAGTAAATAACAAAACAGAACTGGACTTTTTCATGGCTAAACGTTACTTGGCTGATGAACTATTTTTAAAACCAAAATTGATTGAAAACATGTGTGCACTCCCTGTTTCTCTCAAACACCTCTGCAAGAAATTCCAGAGTTTGAGCTACAGTCAACAAATTGTCCTAAACACTTTATGACTCATGAGAAGCGCATGTAAATATAAAAACAAAACAATTAAACAGCAACTGGGAACTAATAATTAAAAAAAAGAGTTTAAGAGAGTCTAGTCTCTAAGAATTTGTTCTTCTACCACTTACATTCATCCCAGCTTGGACTGGAAGTAGACCAAAACAGGTGCAGACATTGTTTGTCATGGTTTCATTGATGCAATTTTAACAGTTTGGTGCAAGAGTTACAGATATTTTCAATAAATGCCAAAATAGCCACTCTCAAACAATCAAGTAGACGACACACACCAGCCTTAAAGGAGTAGTTTACTTTGAAAAAAACTTTTGCTGATAATTTACTCACCCCCATGTCATCCAAGATATCCATGTCATTCTTTCTTCAGTCGAAAAGAAATTAAGGTTTTTGATGAAAAAATTCCAGGATTTTTCTCCATATAATGAACTTCATTGGGAACCAAACAGTTCAAGGACCAAAAGACAGTTTCAGTGCAAACTGTTCAAAGGGCTTTTAACGACACCAGACAATGAATAAGGGTCTTATCAAGCGAAACGATCAGTCATTTAAAAAAAAAATGTTTTTTTAAGTTTTATAAGCTCAAATGGTCACCTTGCTCTGTTCTGTGATGCGCGTTCATGACTCTCCTGTTCGAACTCGTTCATCAAAATGAACAAATCTTTTTCCGAGTCAACTCATTCATTTTGTTTGTTGAATGAACCAAATGACACAAAAAAAGATTTGTTCATTTTGATGAACGAGTTCAAACAGGAGTCACGAACGCTCATCACAGAACAGAGCAAGGCGACCATTTGAGCTTATAAAACTTAAAATTTGTTATTTCTTTTTTAATTGAGTGATCGTTTCGCTAGATAAGACCCTTATTTATCGTCTGAAATCATTTAAAGCCCTTTGAACAGTTTGCAGTTTGCACTGAAAGTGTCTCTTGGACCTTGAACCGTTTGGTTCCCATTGAAGTCCTGGAAAATCCTGGAATGTTTTCATCAAAAACCTTAATTTCTTTTCGACTGAAGAAAGAATGACATGGACATCTTGGATGACATGGGGGTGAGTAAATTATCAGCAAAAGTTTTTTTTAAAGTGAACTACTTCTTTAATTTTCCATCTTCTTTCTATTTTGTCATTAGATGCACAGGTAAATAAAAATTGTACCAACCATTTTGCATTTATCAACCATTGCTGTAAGAAAATGGAGACCTATTCAAACCCGGTTTCAAAAATAACAGCAGATGTTTTCGTTTTTTTTTAACATTAGTTTCTTTAATAATTCATTCCAGTACATGGTTTAGGAATTACATATTATCAATAAACGTGTACACTGAGTATTTTTACTGGAGGAAAGAAACTAGAATGGCACTCACTACGACACAGATCAGACAAGATACAAAGACTCTCTGTAAGCTCACCGATCCCAAACATAGACACTTTCATAAGGGAAAATCAGTCACGACTGTAACCAAAAGAAGATATTAAGAAAAGAAGAGATGTAAGGTATGAAAACATAATGAAACATATATATTTTATAATATATTTATATATATATATTGTAGCTTTTATTTAAAAAAAAAGAAGAAGAAAGAAGTGAAAAGCAATTTAAAAAAACGGTAATACTTTTTGAGATGTAATGAGGTTTTGTTTCAGCTACTGTCGTTACTGAGACTGCTGCCACTGCTAAGATCTGGCCGTTCTCTTTTGTGAATCTGCTCGTGTGCTTTGAGATGACCTGATTGGCTGAA